TCATAATCATCATCATCATTATTAAATCATTTCCTCTTCAATAATTGACTTTAATCAAAATACTAGTATTATCGTTTCTGTATACAACAATTCATTATATAAATTGCTATAAATCACATGTACACAAATAATGATTTGTCTAGTCCTTTTTGAATAACACTACTCATATCAGTAATAGTAGTAAGAATATATATATATAAATAATAAGGTTCACATTATTGCATAATCATGTAATTATCATAAAAAATGATGAACATTCCTACAATTATTACCTTGTGTAAATCAGATACATATTTCACATCTTTTATTCTGTCTTATTATTAGAAGTTATTGACTAAATTACCATCATATAGTTCTCAATTTTGGAAAAAAAGGTGATATATGTTGGTTATCTGAATATTACCAACGTTGTTTGGGACTACAATTAGCCAGACTGTTCTCCGTTGTGTGTGGATTCTGTACAGATTGCCTCTGTATTGCCATTTTTAAAACCCTAAATGTGAATGTGGAGATTCAACTAACCAATACATGTGAACTAAAATCTATCCCATTGCACAAACCGGTGGCTACCTTGACTCAGTGAATAATACGGTGACGTTAGAAGCGAAAGGTACTGGATCTGGTCCCAGAGTGAACTTCATTTCTGAGATCCAGACACATTCAGTTAACGCTTCTCAAATAAGAAGAAACACGCGTCATGAATTTCATCGCTAACGACTATTCATATTGTTATGTCTTATGGCCCGTCAAATATCACGTGACAAAATTGCCAATTAGAATACTGACTTCTATGACACTGTCCCTATGATAAACCAATGACGCAATAATCAGCATAACCGCTCTTGAGTCAATTTTGGGTTCTTATTGGTCCTCTGTGTAGTAGCTTCTCGCCTAACCTAGCCGCTTCAGTCCAGACGACAAATATCAGCATCCGCTGTGTGAATCGTAAATTTCAGACATACGCAGTTTATATACAAACAAATTAGACCGCATAATACCATAAAACAGAAAAATAACAATTATAAAAGATCAAGTCAAAAGTGGCTGCGAGTGTGAGAGACTGTAACCAGTAGATTGGGAATAACTTAAAACTAGCAAATCGTTTAATAGTAGCCAACAGGTCAAATGAAAGCTTATAATAAAAGTAATATAAATATATACAATCCAGTTACTTAGTAGCTATACACTAAAAAAATATATTATTACTGTCCACGAATAGTCCCCAGAAGTTACCCACAATTTAATCTCATTCGGATACAATACCTCTCTGCTTTGAATAAATGTTGCTGTACTGATAGCTAATGGAAATAATGTATCCACAATACCGTGAATTGACTGAAGTCGGAAATATGAATTTTTAGTAGCAACCTAGTGTCTTGAAAGCTACGCAGTCATTACAAAGTTCCTTATTTTGATTCCTGGTAAGAAGGGTAGTGGGTGGGCATTTTTAAGAAATCCTATACAATAGTTGTTTAGCTAAAACGATGTAAACTATCTTGAAACTGTATAATTCCACATGTGCTTTATGCTAATAAACTATCTCAGTGTAGTACTTCGTCTGAGATGTTTGTTATAATTTCATAGTTCATTTATTGAAAAGTATAGCAAACTATTTTCTCATTAGATGCCATTTGGTTAATAAGAGGATTGTATTCTTGGTTACTTTTGAACGGAAATGTTCACGAGCTAATTTAGGCGTTAACGATATAATTTTAACAGACAATTGTGTGATATCAGTTCCAGATGTCAACTTGTTTAACGACGATGACATCGAATAAAACAATAGTTAATCTGTATAGACTTATTAAATGATATCCAAAAATACTGCAGTAAATTAGTTGTCACAAATATTTCTTTGACATTTATTCAAAAAATCCTATGTAATTTCACGGTTCGTTACTTTCAACAGAATATAATGAATGTCACCTTTACAACTGTCAGCAATGATCGATAAGCAATAATTGTGAAATAACTCCCATTTAGTTTAGTTATCATATTTGTTGGTAGTGTTATTTGTGGATGAATATGCTTCATATTGGAAGGGACAGAGTAAACTAATAAGTAAATAGATATAACAATAGAAACTAAAGTTACTGTACTGAATATAAGCGTTTTAAAAAAAAGAAAACTGAACTAGTTGAGGTTAAACGGGAATATACACTCTTAAAACTGGGGGACTGCTTAAAGTTGTAACAAAAAGAAAAGGACGAGGAATTGTAGAAACTAAGTTGGCTGGCTTTTTCTGTTCTGGTTAAACAAACTGATAAAGTTGTTTGTCAGAGAAATAGAATAATAAATGAGCTATTTACAAAGAATGAAATATTTTGAATATGTAGACATATAGCAAAGTAATCACATAATTCTTCACAGGAACAAGTTAATGTACATCAGATAATCATTGTAAAGTAATAAAAATGTGTAAACCTATTTAGTTTTATTCTTCAACACTCGTCCCAACTGTTGGGAATGAACCGATTACTTTAAGGACTTGTAGTAAGTACTGAAGTTGAATACGTCCCTCATGTTAACTTCAGTTCAGTGATAACGTAGCATAATATATATAAAGTTCATTCGGTATGTCTCAACTTAAAGTGACTCCTCAATTGATGTACACGTCAGATCAAAACTAACTTGAAACAGGTCAGACTTCCTCGACTCATCTATCTGAAGTTTTTCATTACAGTTCATATGGAATGAATTTACTGTATAAATTTTGAAACAAATGAACAATGTCTCCTGTCACAGATATTTAGACTCATAAAAACCGTTTACAGTTATAAGCTATTGGTCTATGCCGTCTTCAATCACCCATTTATGGACTTATATTCCGTGCCACTACAAAACATGTAAAATTAACTTAGTTTGGTGGTGAGTAGCAACTGCCTTAAAACTAAAACCAAACTCATTTATCATCACACAATTCGTTATAACAAATTACCAACCATCCTCCTGTCAGAAATTAATCTTGTACTCTACGCATTAGACAAATCCATAACTAACTACACTTCAGTAGGTTATACGTACAAAGACTGACGGTAACCTCTTGTTCACAGGTATTCTTAACATATTCGATTAGAATCAATGGTGAACTTTTTGTACTGCAAAACACCAGGACCCAAGTTTAAAAAAGGAAATAAACGAAAGAACTATGTTAATTCTAGGTTTTTCCCCACTGGCAAAATTTAAGGGGAAAGAATACTGATCGCTCCTAATCTGTGGGAAACTAAGATTACTCGATGTTAATTCAAGCTAAGGTTGATATACCAACTCTGAGACATTTCCCCGGATTGGTGAAAAAGACGGAAACCTGGTGTATTTTCGCCTGTAGTTGCACGGAGTTTCCCTGAAAAATGTCGCCGATATTTCTTCAAAGTCCATCTTTTTTGTTTGCTTAAATATAGTCAGCTAAAAAGTTTTGATAATAATATTCTAAGGAGTTTTTAATCTATAGGATGAGAAATGTCCAATGTCTAATTAACAGTGAACCATATAAGCCCATTATTAATATTCTGAACATGAGGACTCAGTTCTTCCGATATTTTTATGCTCGACATAGAAATGAAGGCAACCTGTCATGATGTGTAGTATTTGATAGTTGATACTGATAAGTGGTCTTATTATTCACGAGTCCAATAAACAACTATTCAACAGGAGAGACTAAGGCCACCAATGGTGTATGATTTGTTCATTACAAATGAAAGCTATTTCTTGGCCAATCATATGAACCTATCATTTGGACGATTTCTGATTAGCCAAATGTATCAAAACCAAATAAGCTGCTGAAAATGCTATATGCTGAATAGGATAAGCAAATATGAACTGAATAAACTGTAGAGATATGACTCAACAATTAGCTATTGGGAAATAGTAAGATAGAAGTATAACAAAGTTAGTTAAGTCTCTCTGATTTGCTTACTAGAATACATGACTAAAAGATTAGTTATTTAGATTGAATAATTAGTCGTAACGGCTTCCATTCAACAAATTACAATGGAAGATACTAGTTGTTAAAAGTAAGAATTCATATATTGAAGATAATATCAACAACAAGCTATTCTTCCTCTTCGAAAAGTAATTGTTCAATCACAGTCTGAATTAGATTATTTCAGACGGAATAACGGAGGCCAAAGGATTTCCTTTTATAAAATCTACTTTTATTTGATTGCACTGCGATTTATGAGACCTATTCTATAAATTTAACGTCATTGACGAACGCATAGGTCCTCACAAAGATGAGTGCAAAGAAATACAAGCTTGTGACTGTTTTTCACCAGGCATCCTTGAAAGAATCTTAGATTAGATTTTCACAGTAGTGTATCACTAACTCAAATGATAGCAATAGTTCAACAAACTCCTCTCGTTCACACTAGTGAACCTACGCAGCAAAGACAACTGTCATCCTATAATTATTCTAGTAACTACAGTTTGGTCCCATCGCATAAAATTTCCGTTTTGCTTTCTCCAATAAATACCCGTTAAAGTGCGCAATAGATGTTGTTACCAACAGATAATAGAATAGCCAACCAACTGTACTTGAGTCTTCACCACCTTTAATCAGTTTGACTTAATGTGGATAATGAAAACGCATTTAGAAAAAATGAGACCATTACTTTGAAAGAGGATAAGTCTGATGACCTGCATCCTTTAAAAATAAAGTTTCTGCGACGTTGGTATGTTGTTTTTTTCTAAATAGAATAGTTACTTCTACTCATTTGTTGTTAAAAAATAAACTAGTGATTATTATTTGTCACCTGATGAGACAGCTACAAACTCTTGCTACAATGTACTTATCTGTAAATTTGATATAATTCACATTTTTTTGTTGACCTGTTAATTCAACTTCATGTATATACTTGTTTTATCCAAAGAGACCACTGAATTGATTGATTCGCAGTAAAATCTAAAGAACACTGGACAGCTGATTCACACTAGTATATGAGGATTGCTTAACACAGAAATAGAATTCAGGACTTTTAGGTTTTATAGTAAGTGTGTATTCACTTTGAATCATTCAGTTGAAAGTGAACAGAGATGACGACTTGACTTTTAAATAACATGAAATCATTCTTTAGGTTTATATTAAGATTTATGCATTAAACTTTAATAGAGTAAATTATCATAAGTTAATAGATGATAATTGTTTTCAAGTTGTATATGGGATATTTTCATTTATTTTCTTTATAATAGTTTATTTCTTTGGATTTTATTCAATCAAACGGTTAGTTTTCATAACATGTTATATATATATGTAAACTGTTGACAATGAAGACAACCATTTCGTTGAAGGAGATACAATTTGATATAAATTGTTGATTAAAAAACCGTGTACAAAATAAAATAGTTTATCTATCTATTTTTTTTTGTGGAGATTTCAGCCATCTGTCTCCGCCATTCTGGTAAACTTTTTAAATATCCTAAACCAGATCCAATTGTAGTTCCAGCTGAAAGAAGCCTAGTAGGAAAGAATGATTTATAAATTTTGAAAGAAAAATAATGATGGTATTATACATAAAATGAGTAATATAATAGATTGTCTATGCTAAATAATGTGATAACTTTTCAGCGGTTTACTTTAATTGAATGAGTTTTATGGAGATTGGTTTGACTTGTAGATTGTATTAGTCACAGGTTAATCTCAGTTGGGATATGACTGAAAGTCAGGGAATACTAGACAGGTGTCTAGTCCTAGTATAAGACTCCTCAGTAGTACACAACTACAACTTCACCAGGGTTCTAACCTAGGAGCCATAGGTCTCGTAGCAGACACTTGACGGTTAGAGCCATGAGATTCAACGGTACAATTTTCACTTCAATCGATTCGCAATATAGTACAACAACAATCCAATGCCATTAATGATGATTGTTTTACTTCCGACATATTTCGTTTGATTTAACCATAAATTAAATGTGCCCATCATAAAATTTGAATAGTATTTTAATTCGACCGAACGTAATACTGACTTCGTCAATGAAAAGATAGTTCAATATATAATGCGCAGACTTTTAAAGTTAGACAATTATAAATAAATATTAAATCGTTAATAAAGGAACATCTTGCTTATCTCCAAGACCCTATTAATCAATATAACGAGCAATAGTTAAAAATAATGACCATTACATAACCGCATTGGTTAGGAAAACAGTTACAGAAGGTTAAGCTAAAGGAGAACGACACTAAGTACGTCCAATCATTGATTGCCAATACGTCGCCAGTATACCAGTGAGAACGCACACAATATAGAACAAGGTGTGTATTCAACCTAACTAAACACTATGAGTGTTAGTATTCAGTAAATCTAGTTTTAAAAATGAAATCGTTTGTAATCACATTTAAATTCATAATTGTGAAGCGGGTATTTATATGTAATGACACTGTTGGACTACAAAAATAAATGGTTTAGACAACTGTGAGCAAGTACTGTTGATGGTTTAAATATTTTTGTGGATAAAATACATAGATTAAATACACAGTTAATCCACAGTCACTATTAGATGTGTTGTGAAAACTGATATTGCATATATATATCCTAATGAGTGTCTGAGATGTTGGCTAGCTGGATTGAGCAATCGAAATATAGTAACAATAGAAGCTTAAGTGCTGGCTTCTATTCAGGTCCAAGGCTGGGGATACAGCAAGTCTTGCAGATAGGCAGACGAATAGGAGTGTATGTTACGATAGCTGAATGTTACTTTTGCCGGTTACAACGTACAACTAATCAAGTCTAAGACTCTAGGTTATCGATGGAATAATAGATGTGAGATAGAAAAATAGTAATCGGAATTTTAATTTGTGAATTAAGACAGTGATATCACTCAGGGACTTACATATATCACAAATGTTAATCATTTCAAGTTGCTACGCCGCATAAGCAAAACAAATGGAATTACCGAAAGGAATATCAGTGTAACAGGTGTAGTGGTAATTAAATTGGCAGTAGCAAGATTCGACAGAAAATATGATTGCAAGAGAAATAATAAATTTGTGGAATAGAGTTACATTTGTTACCGGAATACTATTATCAAACCAAGATTTGCAGGTTATTTATAAGCCAGAGATATCAAATAAAAAATATGTAGTGTACTGGTTGCATCTACTTTTTATATGAGACTCTTCAGAGGTCAATTTATCTAAACTTACGTTTGTTAAGCATTTTGATTTTAACTGTTTTTTTTGTTACAAATAGGTTTTTTTATAAGTTGATGCAGTAACATTAAGAGGCACATGATTATTAACGCTCTTAAAACTACCGACCATGGTAGCTGTATTTCTTTCTACTAGCAACACCTTTTATTTTATAATGGTTTATACACTACCGATTTTAGTGAAATACCCACTGCTAGTAACAGTGGCTGTTTGAAGTGATTTTGCACAAGAATACTATGTGAGAGATTAGGATAAAATCACAAATAAAGATTTTTTGAGAGGCATATTTACACTTCATTAGAAAACTATGTATTAAAACAATTTTTGGTAGACAAAATAGAATTGTAGAGCTCAATTTGAGAGATAAAAAAAGATGCGGCTCCAGAAAAAAATTATTATTAAAGAAATTTTCTAATTAATCTACTGGTACGTCGAATCTTTTAATATATAGTTGGTAAAACAATCCACGATATACACATATTTTCCCACATATCAAATATCCTATGCGTTCCATTTGTATTGTCCTTGACTTTACCTTATTTTATTTATCGCACTTCATTAAAAATATATTGACAGAATAAGTTTGGAAAATGTTTTCCTAGATCTTTGGTTTGTCACACGTTTAACTGTTGCCAATTAGTGTCAAATTAATCAATAAACTAGTCAAAACATATATAAAAATGATCAGACCATGTATTTCAAAAAACAGCAAAGAAATAACTTGTTAGTTTGTGTCAAAATTTATCTCCAAACTTGTATTTATGAAATTTCATTAAATCGCAGTGCTAAATGGTGATCTGCTTTCCCAGAAGTTCTAATGGCAGGTCGTGATCTGTGAATCTAATCGAGTACAGAATAAGGTAACGCCCATCTATGACATTTGATGACTGTCAAAACGCATTGCAATGTATATCACCGAATTCGAACATAATAGTCAAGTGTTATTTTTACGAGACCTTGAACGTGGTATTATGAGACCGTGAGTACACAACGCTAAGGAGTATTGAACCAGAAAAGGCGACTGTTTAGTACTCTCACTTTTAAATTTTACAGACGTCGGTTTGTGGTGAACTAATACACATATTTGTCAGATTTTACACTACTTATGAATGGCTTACTGATTATCAAATAGGCCTTCATAAATCACAAAATGAAAATATTTAAATTTTGCAAACATTTTAACTCACCACACAACCTTTAGGTATTCGTAGTTAGGAAGTCCATACAAAGGATATGTCATGCTAAGTATGATACTCGATAACTGACAAAGAGTATTCAGCTATAAAGTCAATGTAAGAATTATTGGAAATAATAATAATTAGACAATTAAAAGACTGAGAAAATGAATGACCAATCGTTTAATAAAACTCCAGAACAGACAAAAATTTAAGCAAGACAGAGGTTTTTACCCAGGAAAGAGTTTCATTATTTTGTGGGGAACCAGTGGCTGGACACTAGGTGACATGACTCAGAATTGATCACAATGGAGTAGGTATATACACCCTTTGTCATCCTATGAGACTAAAGTTACTTTATACCTTTCTTTCTACGAACTAATTCTTTCTTCCTGTATTATATCCTTATATGCTATCTTTCTTTTATGTTACTACCAATGAAGTAACTACTACGATTTTGGTGTTCACCTTGTTGTGTTAATGAGGTGTGGCAACTTGAACCGATGCATATATGTGCCTGGTCCTACGCCGTAGCTGACTGACTAACCGTAAGACGCAAACAGACCTAAACGGATAGCTGCATAAAACAAACATTTGTGTAGAAAGGTGATCAGAAGCCTGATTTTTTAACAAAAGGTCAAAATATGGTGTCTTAGTCAAAATTAAAGTAGAAAAGCAAGTTTCTTCATTCAACTAAGATTCAATGAATTAAGTTGTGCACGGCTACCGTTTGCGGTAGGACTATATTTTATGGACGACCTTTGAACGAATTTTTAATTGATCTTGAAACTATTAGCCAATTAGAAGAGAGTTAGTACAAAGTGAAAACATATTATAAAAAACTTATGAATTACAGCGGATATTCTTCTTTTACATTATTTAAAAACTTGTTAAGGTTAGATAAAGGTTCAGATGTCCTGAAATCATAGTGCATGGGGTTAGGGTTAAGGTTAGGTTATGGTTTAGGGTTAGAGTGCACAAATCCAAGTATATGGAGGCATATATACGCTTTCCAATCATCGGTATATATCGTACTGCCAGGCTGCATGTACTGTAACATCTGCAAAAGATGCAGCCAATGTTACTGGTGACTTCATAATCCAATTTGCAACAATTATCATGATTTGCCTTAGTCTGAGACGTGATCGGGCGAAGGAAGTGCCAGTTCGAGCAGATTTTATCTTCTAACATATAGTACAATGAAATCTCCAGCCCATATTAATTTCAGTACAATGAAATCTAATGTCACCACGGTAGTCTGCACAACGCTCTGCAGTCATTTGATTGCCGCAGTCACAGATACAGGAGCTTCTTAATAGTCCCATCTGTTGTAATCGCTCAAAAATCACCTCTTCTTTAAAATCTGCTGTAAAACGATCGAATGTGAGCGTCTCGTATTGAACTTAGCGCCGTGACCTTGGAATTCCTCAAACGCTTCTGATTGGCTCGTCCATAAATTAGTCTTACCCCGTTTGCTAATAAACTGAAAAGTCCTACAACACTAAAATTGTTGTTCTATTGAAGAGTAAAACCGGATGAGTTGTACCTCTCTGTTTAAGAACAAGTGTAAATGCATAATCCTAATTAAGTTTAAAGGACAATGGTGTTTATGTTCAAAAACTCAAAGAATGGTAGGGATTTGGTCAATACATTAACGACCAAGTTTGAAAGTAACCAGATTAATCCAGTATATTGTTCCTAAATTCAGGATAAACTCCAAATCTTTACTGAAGCTAGGATTTTATAAATTACACTAGTCAGGACTATTCATACCTAAGAAACTGGAGATCGACTAACAAAGTGAGCGAAAGGGGTTTTAGAACTACGAAAGGACTAGAGAGATTTGAAGTTTTAGCATAATTTAAAGCTAAGTGAACGAAACTTAATCTTGTTATCATTCAGGCTGACTAAAAAGCAACTGAGAACAAAATTGCCGTAGAGGCACTGATTCATACCTTTATGAAGATAATTGCATCAAACTAACATTCAAAGGTGTGTAATTAATTTTACGGGACAGTAGAAGGTCAAACAGAATATTGAGTTAAGCTGCAGATATAACTAAGCTAATTTAAGATTTCACACCATTGAACTAACTGTGAGAAGTAGACATACCTTGCTGATATTTGATGCCTTCATTTCAACTTTCTCGGTGAATATCTTCGTAGTAAGCTGAAAATTTTTTTATAGAATATGCGAACCTACTGAACCGAAATTCCAGAACATTAGAGACAAAACTGTGATAACTATTCCCAAATCACGGAAAATAAAAAGACAGGCAAGACTGACTAGTGGAATCTCAGTTGATAAACGTTTTGTTACCTGGGAAAAAATCCATCACTGCCAATGACAAAACCAAAGAAGTCACAAGAAGTTTGTCAGCAAGAGGGTCCAAAAAACTTCCAACATTTGAGGCCTGGTTGGACACACTTCGGGCTATTAGCCCATCTAACTTCACAAGCTTCATATAAAAAAGCCAAACAAAATCTCACCGTATCTGTGACTCCGGCAACGATAGTAAGACCTAAAGCCATACTCAAATCACAGCAAAAAATAGATTTAACAATAAAAGGTGTAAGTGTGATTCGTGAAGCTGTAATCAAATTAGGAATCGTGAATATCGTAAGCTGATTCTGTAGATCGTAGCAATTATCATATCAGAGATTACATCTTTTTTACGAGTTGAAAAGAAGTGGTTTACTGGTACTGTGAAAACGTGACAGTGAGCGACTGTCTTTTCAAGTAATTTCAAGCGCCACTGAGGACAAAGTACACTGGTGTGAAAAGTACGACATGACTTCAGGTGCCAAACGACCTTCATCTTTAAAGGTAGCAGTAAATTGTTCAAATGGTTCAAATGGTTGTGGACGGAATAGAAGAAGCTTTCGCTTAACGGGCTTCCGTGTCTAGTAGCAGGGGATCACCAAATCCCCCAGGCAGGAACCTAGGTATGTTAACAATAAAAAAGGAAAAGAAATTGATAAATCATTATGTGATGCTGTCCTTGGTCCTTAAGAATAGGTCAAGTTGCCTCATGAAGGACTCCTGAGAAGTCGCTTGGACTAGCTCGGCCGGCAGCGAATTCCAGCTTTTGACAACTCTTAAGGAGTAGAAGTTGTGTCTACATTCCGTCTTGCTATGTTGTGTTTCCAGTTTCTGAGTGTTACCCCTTAGGTTATTATTCGAACTAAGCTTAAGTAGGTGTTTAAGAGGATGTCCAGAAGTGCTAAGAATACTATAAGCCATTAGTAAATCACCTCTAAGACGCCTATATTCTAGTGAGTAAAGGTCTAGTGAACGGAGGCGTTCTTCGTAAGGCTTAGATTTGAGTCCTCGAATTGATTTCGTGGCTCGCCGTTGGATACGCTCCAAAGTGACCTTGTCCTTTTGGAGTGAGGGGGGAGTACTATGTTTCCGTACTCTAAATGGGGACGGATGAAACTACTGAAGATTGTATGGAAAGTTCGTCCGTCAAACTGTCCAAAAATGCTGATGATGTCACAGGTATTCAGTGTTTGACAACGCTTCTACCAGTAACACCTTCTAATATATTTCGTTCCCACCCAGAGAAATCAAAAGACAGAGTCGAGGAGATCGGAAGAGTATATTTGGCGATGACCAATATATCGGAATTCTCCGATCTAATCTGGCTAGCGATTGCGGTTGATGTTGAGCACGGCGTTACCACACGTGATCTGGTGCGGATGCCTGACCGAGCGCCTTCAGCTAGATGAGTCCACTAAAACATATGGTCAGCATCCAACGTCGAAAACTTACAGAGCTATTTATTTTAGGGATTTATTTACCGCTACAGATCACTCCCCCCCTAGTGGGGCAGTGACGACCCTAAGACGTGGCCAGCCAGAAGTTTAAACCCAACGAGTTTGTCGTTGGTAAACACTCTTCTGATAGCTGACTAAATTTAGCAGCGTCTGGTCGTCTTTCCTTACTATATGGGACGGAGGTACAACATAGTAAAAAAAGAAAATGTACAATGAAAATTTCGGATCCTCATAAACGTCATCGTTCTTTTCCAGCCGTCCTGGAAAAGAAAAAAGAAAATGTAAGTGCATGTCGAAAATACACTCGTATGTGCGTAAAAGCACAATGTCGGCGGATAAAAAATGGAAAATAAACTCATGAACACGTAATAGCGTTAAAAAAATTGTTTTTTTTTTAAATAGAAATAAAAAAATATATAAGCATATTAAAATTGTTTTTTTTAAAAAAAATAATATGAAATTTCGAGAAGTGCCTTACGTGCAATGGTCGTTTAAATGTTCTGGAAATCTCACCCTTCTAGAACGCATCGTTTTAAGTTTATTTTCGGATACTGTCGAAGTATCATCGTGTGTGTTGGTTGTCGGATGAGGTATTATAAGTGTCGGAGTCGTGTCGTTCGATTTTACCGAAGGAAAATCCACGTAGATAGGATTTCCTTCTAAATACGCTGCTTTTAAGCGATCGATACTGATGCTATCGTTGGTTCCGTTCTTATCGACTATATAGTACTTAGATTCACGTTGAAGAACTTTGAAGGGTCCTTCGTATGCTGATTGGAATGGTCGTCGATGCGAGTCTCGACGAACGAAAACGTATGTACTATATCGTAGGTCAGGTTGAACGAAAACATCAGTTGATTGGGGTCGAGTGGAAGCAGGTCTAACTGAACGCATTGCGTTTGTAAGCCTGTTCGTGTAGGAGGTTAGATCCATGTTCATTGAAGAGGATGAAGGATCCACGAATTCTCCTGGAAGTCGAAGTGTCGTTCCATAAACGAGTTGAGACGCAGTGTATCCAATGTCAGCTTTCACTGCATTGCGGATACCTAGTAAGACGAGTGGAAGAGCGTCGGTCCACTGTGAAACGTTTGCAGCTGATAGCGAAGCTTTCAGTTGTCGGTGAAAACGTTCTACCAACCCGTTTGCTTGTGGATGGTAGGCGGTCGTTCGGAAGCGAGTGATTCCTAAAAGTGTGGTCAGACGACGGAAAAGATCGGATTCAAACTGACGTCCGCGGTCTGTAGTGATGGTTGAAGGGCATATAGCGACTCACGTGTTAATGGGTTTATTTTCATTTAACCCAGTTAAGCCCTTTTTGTTAACTTATTTAGCGGACAAAGCCATCCGCGCTATAGCAATGTATTGTATCCTTATTATTATTTTGAGCTTGTATGAAATACGTATGCTTGAATATTGATTACTGCCTACGCATTGATTCACTCTGCTAATCTTACCACTAACCGCTTATTCGATTCGATTACTCATTCATTTCACATGGTATATATATGTCCATGTTATTCATACTGAACACACAATCACTCACTCGCTCGCACGGTCTCGTCACGCTCTTGCTCTGGCTCTCGCTCGCTTGCTTGCCTTTCGGCACAACTCTCCTATGCTTGTTTAACACATCTGTACATTTGGATATATGTGTGTGGTTTCGCAATAAACGTAATCGACACTTCGTATTTGCCTTCTGATTAATATACCGTTGGTACGTTATATAGAACGGTTATCGCGACGAACTGTATACGAAGTTTAAGGATTATATCAAATACCGACCACCACAGGCAGCCAAAGTTTGCTACCCATCGTTCGACGAAGGTGCGAGCCACCGTTTCAGCAGTGATGTCCTTGATAGGTACTGCTTCTGGCCATCGAGTGAAACGGTCTACGCAGGTTAAGAGGTAGGCGTATCCATTTGAATCTGGTGAAGGTCCTACCAAATCCAGATGAACATGGTCGAAACGAGCATCGGGAGTTTTAAACGAGTCTAAGGGACATTTATTGTGTCTGATGACCTTAGATTTTTGGCAGCCCACACAGGAGCGTGCCCACTCCCTCACGTCTTTATTCATTCCAGGCCAGCAAAAACGTTCTGCTATAAGCTTGATGGTTGCACGAACACCTGGATGAGAAAGTTTGTGCAATGTGTTGAAGACATTGCGTCGATAATGTTTCGGCACGATTGGGCGATCCCTACCTGTAGATGTGTCACAAAGTAAGGTTTCCTTACCTGTTCCCATCTGTTTGATGCGTAGTTTAAGTGTTGTGGACGATAACTCGTGCTGAAGATCACTGTCTTCTTTTTGAAGCTCGGCGAGTTTAAGAAGTTCGATTCCTTGGAAACTGTTCAAGGAAGTTATACGAGATAAAGCGTCTGCAACTACATTGTTTGCTCCAGAGATGTGTTGAATATCTGAAGTAAACTGCGAAATGTAGTCCAGTTGTCGAGACTCACGGGGAGAGTACTTGTCAGAAGGAGAGCTTAACGAGAAAGTGAGCGGTTTATGGTCCGTGAAAAGAGTGAATTCACGACCTTCGATGTAGTGTTGGAAATGCCGTACAGCACAATACATAGCTAGGAGTTCCCTACCGAATGTGCTGTACCTCGATTCGGTGTCTAGCAACCTTCTAGAGAAAAATGCCAAGGGTTGCCAGGAGTTGTTAACCCATTGTTGTAAGACTCCTCCGATTGCTGAGTCGGATGCGTCTACTGCGATGCTAATGGGTGCTCGGGTGTCCTTATGCGCGAGCATTGTTGCTTTAGCAATCAGTTCCTTAACTGTGGAGAATGCTTTTCGTGCGGTGTCGTCCAAATTAATGGATTTCGCATTTCCACGAAGTTGGTCGGTCAGAGGTTTCATAAGTAATGCGCACTTTGGTATGAAACGTCTATAGAAACTTACCAGGCCGTTGAACGTGCGCAATTGCTTGACGGTGGTCGGTTCTGGGTAATCCAGAATGGCCGCCACTTTGGTTCTAAGGGGTCGGATACCTTGAGCATCGATAGTGTGTCCTAGGAAATATAACGAGTCGGTTCCGAATTGGCATTTCTGAACGTTTACAGTAATGTCATGTTTTTGTAGTCGTTCGAAAACAAGATCCAGATGCTTGAGATGTGTTTCTCTGTCCGGACTTGCGATTAAACAGTCGTCAACATACGCGTGTACGAAGTTGAGACCTCGAAAAACGTCGTCTATGAATCTTTGGAATGTTTGAGCAGCATTTCTTAGACCGAAAGGCATTCGCAAAAATTCATAGAGTCCGAAGGGAGTTATGATAGCTGTTTTTGGTATATCGTCAGTAGCCATAGGGATTTGGTTATATGCTTTAACCAAGTCGATTTTCGAAAAGACAGTTGTACCTTTCAAGGTAGCTGTCAAATCGTGAATGTGAGGCAACGGGTAACGATCGGGAATGGTTTTCGCGTTCAATCGCCGATAGTCACCAGTTGGACGCCAATCGTTGCTGTCCTTTTTAGGGACCATGTGCAACGGAGATGCATATGGGCTACTTGACGGTCGTATGATTCCTAAATCCATCATGTGATCGAATTCGTTTTTCGCTAACCTTAGCTTTTCAGGAGCTAGTCGTCGTGCTTTAGAGAATACAGGTGGTCCTGTAGTCGTGATGTGATGTGTAACGTTGCTGGTTACACACGGTAGTTTCGGTTGAGTTTGTTGTATTCCAGGGTACTTATCTAGTAGTGGTTGATAGAGTGGGTCTATCATATGCTTAACTGTGACTGGAGATACTCTGCAACCAGTAAAAGAAGTTACGCAAACGGACAAATTAGTGTTTCCGTCTACTAGCCTCCGTTTGCGAGTGTCGATGATCAGATTGTGGTGTTGTAGAAGGTCCATACCAATGATTGGCATAGAAACATCTGCAACAACGAAAATCCAGTGGATGGGTTTGCGTAAACCCACGTTAAGGTAAACGTACCTTTTGCCATACGTAGCGATCGGTTTTCCGTTTGCCGCCTGTAAGTTTAGAGCCGATTCTTGAAGCCGATCGTTGGGATTCGCTGGGAGAACGCTAACTTCTGCGCCAGTATCGACGAGGTAGCGAACTCTCGTTGTCACATCTGTGACGTATAACAGACGGCTTTGTTCGCCGGCTACGGTTGCCGTTAACGCGTGCCGGCTTGGAAGTTTCCCGAATTGTTTTTCGAATCAGTCGGTTTCGTGTTGGGAAAATTGCAGGGTTTTCTGCAATTTCTGGAAAACTTTCCATACTGGTCATGATACCAGCACCAGTCGGGGTTATCTGTCTCTCGTGGTCTAGAGACAGATCGCTTACGAGAAATGCTTCTACGTGGTGTGCGCGATCTCTTACGGTCGGTACGAAGACTAAGATAATGCGTGAGTGTGTGACATAAGTCGGCTATATCGTTCTGAGTCGTGTGAGGCTTTTCTTTGACTGAAAATACCTCGGCAGTAGATTTCGTAATTTCTAGAATGCGGTCGGCAGATGCAGCTAGCTCGTCTAAGCCGTTGTTCTGGAACGAGACCAGAACTGCTTGCACCTGTTGGGGAAGTTTTGACAAGAAGAGTTGTTTGAATAGACCTTCGTCGAAAGTTCTTAGGCCTACATTCTCTCTCATCCGTTGCAACATGTCTGTCGCAGAACCGTGTTTCAGGTCAATGTTATTGAAGAGTTGATCTAACCTTTGTCGATCGGTTAGATCTCCTCGTTTAAGAATCGAGCGTTTTAAGATTTCGTAAAGGTCGGAAACATCACTAGTAAACATACTAGGTGTTACGTACCTGTTGAATTCGCGCGGTAGTGCCTTGACTACTGCGAGGAATTGTGCACGTGTGTCGATCACGCTGTGCTCGGAGAAGTCGGCTTCTGCGTAGCAAAACCAGGCTTCGATGTTGTCGGGCCAGAAAGGCATCAGTTGAAACGAAGGTGGGGACAAAGTCTTAAGCTTGAGTACTTTAGGTGTCTGTTCAGTCATGATGAAATATTAAGTATGATAATGAACGAGGGGAAAATATATATATCCAAGAAAAAGCACGAAAAAAAATCACAATGTTTAAAAAAAAATAAAAAATAAGGCAATGATAAATAAAAATCCCAAAAAGGAACAGACTCACAGTTGCAATAAGGTGTACCAGATCACGTCGGTTTCACCACTTAAAGTTCAATAGTCTCTTGGTTGTCATGCGTAGGACAGACTCGCCGATTACTTCAAACGGTTATAGAAACAGCGTATCACCCAGGAGTCGTCGTTACAGTCGGTCTCGATCTCGTTCCAAGAGTCGCAGCGGATGTCGTGACTTTTATCGTCGCAGCCCTGGCTACGGATATGGAAGTTTCGGCCGAAAGAGGTTTCTTGGGCCGCGAGAAAATCCTACCCCTTCCAGGTGTCTTGGTGTCTTTGGTTTGTCCCTTCATACCCAAGAAAGAAACCTTTACGATATTTTTTCGCAGTATGGAAATATTGATGTTCAGTTAGTCTTCGATAACTACACAGGTCGCTCTCGTGGATTTGGTTTTGTATATTTCACTCACGTCGCTGACGCAAAAGCTGCAAAGGCCGATGCGCATGGAATGGAAATTGATGGACGACCTATTAGATGTGATTTCAGCGTAACCGAACGACCACATTCGCCTACTCCCGGCATATATATGGGGCGACCATCTAGACGCCCTATTCCTCGGAGACGAAGTATTTCTCCACGTGGACGTTATTCTCGTTCAAGGTCTCGTTCGCGTAGCTATGATCGTAAGTAGCGCTGCATTTTAACCTGATGTTTTCCTTCAGGGCGTTACTAAACACTGACAACATTTGTGTTAAACCCATTTTTACTGAGATGCATTTCTGCTTCAGTGTGCGATTGTTTCATCACTTGTCTGTAATACAATTCCTCCATCTGTTCACTCATATATGATACAAAATAAATATATAGTCAAGAAAAAAAATAAGGCAATGATATATAAAAATCCCAAAAAGGAACAGACTCACAGTTGTAATAAGGTGTACCAGATCACGTCGGGCTCACCAATCATGATGTCACAGGTATTCAGTGTTTGACAACGCTTCTACCAGTAACACCTTCTAATATATTTCGTTCCCACCCAGAGAAATCAAAAGACAGAGTCGAGGAGATCGGAAGAGTATATTTGGCGATGACCAATATATCGGAATTCTCCGATCTAATCTGGCTAGCGATTGCGGTTGATGTTGAGCACGGCGTTACCACACGTGATCTGATGCGGATGCCTGACCGAGCGCCTTCAGCTAGATGAGTCCACTAAAACATATGGTCAGCATCAAATGTCGAAAACTTACAGAGCTATTTATTTTAGGGATTTATTTACCGCTACAATGCTCTTCAACGTTACCAGTGCAAGGTTTGCTCGGAAGGCATTTTTGTCACAGTTAGCGTAAGACTTTAAGTCATGGGGCACCAGGACTCCTAAATCCTTTTCGACTTGGGATACTACTAGAGAGGAGTTTCCTAAGTTGGAATTGTAGTTTGCGACATGTCGCAGATGGACTACTTTACACTTTGAAGTGTTAAATGTAAGTTCGTTATCGTCTGCCCAACTTTGAAGTCGCGTCAGATCCTCCTGAAGTGCCTGTGTATCGTCTTGGTTGCGTATCTCTCTCAAAAGTTTCACGTCGTCGGCAAAAAGTAATAAGTCTGACGTTACCTGTTGAGGAAGATCATTTATGTAGATCAAGAAGAGAGGAGGCCCTAGTACTGAGCCCTGGGGGACCCCACTGGGACATTCCATAGCCTGAGATAAAGTGAAATTAACCCTAACCTTAAAGTGTCGATTTTTTAGGTATGAAGTAAGCCAATCGATTAGAGGTGGTTTGATACCTAGTCGTTTGAGCTCGTTGATAAGACACAAGTGGTTAACCTTATCAAAAGCTTTTGAGAAATCAAGGTAAATGACGTCAACCTTTCCCTTGCACTCGAGGATGCTTGTCCATTTGTCCACCGCAGTCAGCAGGTTGGTTATACAAGAGTAACCCTTCCTGAAACCATGCTGTTGGGGTGAGAAGAAATTTAAGGACAGTAGATTGTCATTTAAACCGTCACATATCAGGGACTCCATGAGTTTTGAAGGTAATGACAGAAGAGCCACCGGCCGATAACTTGAAGGTTCATTGCGTCGACCACCTTTGAAAATTGGTGTGATGTGAGCCAACTTCCAGTTTTCCGGTAATTTGCCTCGGCAAAGCGAGTGTGAAAACATCACGCTAAGCGGCGTTGCCAGGATTGAGGCTACCTCCCTCAGTATGGCAGGATGAACCATATCCGGGCCAGGAGAAGTGTCAAGTCTTAAGTGCTGCAATTTCCGGAACACCAAGTCAGCGCTTAGGTCCACTTCAGAAAGTCCTGTGGAGTTGGAGATGAAACTGTCGTCAATAAAGTTGATGTCAGCCGGTTGAAATGTTTGAGAGTAATGGGCCGCCAGAAGGTTAGCGGCGTCGCCATCGTTGTTGGTCGGGCCGTTAAGACCTAGCAGTTGAAAAACTCCTGTTTTGGCTTGACGAAGAGAGGCTGCATAACGGAATAGGCTTCTAGGGTTAGAGGCGAATTTGTCCATAAGCTTTGTTTAGTACTGAAGCCTGTCTTCTCTTATAGTCTTCGTGCATGTGTTCCTGATATGTTTGTATTGCCTATACGCTCCATCGTTATTAGTTCGTTTGTATTCCGCCCAACAGTGCCGTTTGCGGCTTAGGAGGCGAAGGGTACGATTCTTGATTACTGTAGGTGGCTTGAAGCTTTTGGGAACCGCTTGAGGAACTGAATGGTCTGTAGCACATAAGAGCGTGTGGAGTAAGAAGTCCCAATGACCATCCACATCGATTTGAGGGTGAACATCCCAAACCACCTGTTGTAGATAGTCATGTAGAGCTGGCACATTCAGCCGTTTAAAATTCCAACGCAAATTATTGTTGGGATACCTTAGCTTAGTTTTGATGACAAAACTGAAGGCTATGATGGCATGGTCGCTCTTTCTCAGAGGAGCCAGGATTGAGAGGTTGTCGACTAGGAATTTTTCGTTAGTGAATACACAGTCTAAGCGCGACGGTGTCTGACTGTTTCTCCAACGAGTTGCCGACCTCACATTTTCATATAAGCCCAAGTTATCGATGAGGTTGAAGAACCGAGCTTCAGTTGAGTTGTCGCCTCCAGTGTACGTGTGTTCCGCGAAGTTGACTCTAGGGAGATTAAAGTCCCCTAGATTCGGGATGTGTGTGAAACCGAGACGGATAGAGCGGGATAGTCCTTCCAGCATACGACTATCGTACTCGGTGTCGGCAGTTGGCTTCCTGTAAATGACTCCGACTAGACACCTGGAAGTACTAGACAATCTTACAGAGCACCATATGGATTCCTCAAGATAGTTAAACTCGAGGTTGTGAACCTGGTGCACCTCCAAGCAAGAGCTTATGTATATGGCTACTCCGCCCCCAATTCCTGTTTTTCTGTCGTTGCGGAACAAAGTCATCCCAGGAAATGCTAACTCTTGGTCCGAGAACTGAGAAGATATCCAGGTTTCAGATATTCTTATCAGATGGGCCTTATTAGCGTTGCTAAGTTCACGTAGTTCATCCAGTTTGTTTTGTAGACTCGCGGCGTTCATATATAAGCAGTTTATGCTTTCAATTTGGAACGCGTGAGCTTCGTCCTGTTTTTCTGTATGAACCTTATGTGAATGGACAGGTAGCCCACCTATGTGAGGTTTGCCGAGGTGGTAGGCCCTGTTCTTTACACGTTTTTTATCGTTTAGACAGTCCACAAGTGGAATGGTCAGCTCCAACTTGCCTTTGTTCTTGGTCCTTGCTTCGTATGGCCTATCCGGGTGCATGTGGATTCCAGGTGGCAATCGACGTATTTTAGCACGAAATGCTTCCAGAACTGCAGCCGCCATGTGGGAAGATGGGAAGGTTATCTTCATTAGACAGGGTCTAAGATCACCGTCCTTCTTGGCTAGTCTCGTCACATGCTGAGTCAGTATGTGTTTGAGCCTCAAGGACTGTTTGATGAATTTCCATTCCCTGATGTCAGAATTTGATTGAGTAGGGTCTGCATTTTCCGGTATACCTTGGACAATTATGTTTCTTCCGCGGAAAAACTTCTCGCGAGATTCTTTAGGGACGTTTCGTATGATACTGTGCTCAGAGTACGGTATGTCGGGCAATATTCTTACGTTGCCATCTGATTTCAGCAAGTGGCTTGCTAGCAAGACGTCCTCTACGTCGATAGCATCCTTAAGTGTTACTCGGAG